GGAGGAGCGGCAGGAGTGCCGGACGACGACATGGCACAGAGACTTGTTCGCTGCTGTTGGTGTTTTGGCCGAGATTGGACTCGACTCGAGGAGTGATGGTCAGGTCCCTCACCAACTCGGCTCGGAACATGACCGGGGCAGCGTATGTACAACCGATCACTGCGGGGTCCTAGCAATCCAGTCACTCGGATAAGAAGCCGAGTCAATTCAGCCGCCCCGCAATTTTGCCGTCCGGCTAAGAGGCCGGGGTAAATCCGCCGGCCGGCCGTTATACTTCGAACCATCTTATTATAATCTAGCCAGGGTTACATATTCCATCCCCCACAATATGGTTGCTCCCCAAAGTTGTATATTTTGCACCACAAATCTGTATAGTTACGCACCCTCCTCTTATCATACGCGTACGGTAGAGTGATTAGCAACTTGGTGAGATGGTACACATTGAGCCGGTACACATTGAGACGATACACGTTGAGACGGTACAACTAATTTTTGTGTGAGCGATTTGTTGGAGTTCAAATCGCGTTTGGACGCGACGTTATTTGGTACAGATAGGCGGATTGGTTGGGGTTTGGCGCTATGGAATTTGAATTAGTGTAGCGCAAGAGATGGGGCGATTGGGTGAGGGTTACCTAAATTACTGAGCTCTATTGTTTCCAAAAGTAGTAAAATATGCATTAGACGTATTTTACTCCTATTTTAGGGGTGTCTAGAAGGTGCAGGGATAGGGTGACAAAAATAACGACCTCGTAATGTTATCTTATGTACTACTAGGAGGGGGGACGACTTCTTCGACTCGGCTTTCCATCGGTCACGTTCCTCCTCGACAGTCTTCAACCGTTCCTCGAGGTCGGCCTTCACAGGCGCCTGTGAATCCAGCCGCCGAGACAAGTCAGCGTTGATAGTCCGAGCAGACTCCAGCTCGAACCTCAGTGCAGCGACATCACCAGCTTGAATTTGAGGTTGATGCTGACCGCGAAGGAGGCTCACGAGTTTGCTGACGGACGTCGCCTCGAGGGCAGCTCGGCGGACCTCTCTATCAGCCGCCGGCGCGGGACGAGTGATCACGAACGACAACAGCCGAGCCAAGTCCGCGTTCTCGATGCGGCGTTGCTTGGACTGCGCATGGATCAGCGCAGCGAGAGAGTCGAGACTCACCGGTCCAGCCGAGTCCGACCGACCAAGGTCGGCGGTGCCCGAAGTGGTGTCACCACGCGGACTCGGTGACGGCGAGGAGAAGTGCGAGATGCCGGCTTGGACTCCCGGCCGAGCCCACGGGAGGTTGTCAGATCGATGACAGGGTGCTCCTGCCCATCGCTGACCCCGCGAGCCCGGGACGCCGAGTCGACCAACTCAGCGGACTCCTCCTCATCTCGCGCGAAAGGATGTGACGACTGCAAAGGTGATGCAGCTGAAGCCTGTGAAGATCAGTGGAAGAAGGGTCAGCAGCAGAATGGATGGAGCCATCAGAGGTGATGAACGTACCGGAGGAGCGGCAGGAGTGCCGGACGACGACATGGCACAGAGACTTGTTCGCTGCTGTTGGTGTTTTGGCCGAGATTGGACTCGACTCGAGGAGTGATGGTCAGGTCCCTCACCAACTCGGCTCGGAACATGACCGGGGCAGCGTATGTACAACCGATCACTGCGGGGTCCTAGCAATCCAGTCACTCGGATAAGAAGCCGAGTCAATTCAGCCGCCCCGCAATTTTGCCGTCCGGCTAAGAGGCCGGGGTAAATCCGCCGGCCGGCCGTTATACTTCGAACCATCTTATTATAATCTAGCCAGGGTTACATATTCCATCCCCCACAATATGGTTGCTCCCCAAAGTTGTATATTTTGCACCACAAATCTGTATAGTTACGCACCCTCCTCTTATCATACGCGTACGGTAGAGTGATTAGCAACTTGGTGAGATGGTACACATTGAGCCGGTACA